ACTATCTAACTGTTGATTACATAAATCTTATTAGGCACTGCATACAGACATAGCTTCACATTTATGGATATATTCATCACGTTTCTTAAAGAATTTGAAAATGATTCACAATGGTTGAAATGATTCAATGTGGTCGAATGTATGGTTTACATAGAAAGGCTCCTATCGTATAAGGAGGACAGAAATTAATTTAACAAAGTTTTATGTATCATATTGTCTCTTTCATAGTCATAACGGACACTGCCACATGACATGAGTTAGATATTGCTCCAAACAACCGCACTGACATCTCGGATCGACAATAATATTAATTCGCGTAAGTGAGGAAGCCAGATGGTAACGGTTTGCACGGCATCTGTTGGACATTGTTAATTTCTTGCATACGCATCATTGTTATTCTAATTCATTGTCATTATAATGCCACGAAACCGTGAGAAGGCGGACTTTCCATTCGAATTGCTGTATTGGTTGACGATAATTCAAACGAATTTATTCCTCTGGTTGATGTCACAATAATTAATCAGTTAAATCGTTTCTCGCAGCTGAAGGATTAATAAAAGTTCGCGTATCTAGAAGAACGCTTAACGTCTCTCAGCATTTAGCAGCAAAAAAGACTGTGTTATTTCGATGGAATAAAGTGATAAAGTTAAGTGCATCGAAGTAATGATACCTAAACTGCTTTCGTATCGAAACAGAATGACGTCGACGCTTCTTGACTGTTTTGGCTGCAGCTTGCTGTGGGTTGCCAGCGAGTGGATCATTTCCTATGCGTTCAAGTTGTGTCGCAAACATACGACCACGCACTCTGAACTTGCAAACATGCGTTTTCTTCCGTTTAGGGAGAAATGCTTCGAGGATGCGCTTGAAGCGAAAGGTGAGATATGATATACTTATGAAATAATAATCTTAACATTTTGCAAATATAGCGTAAAACTAAACCAGTAATCAGTACGAGAAATAATCTTAATTTATTTGGAATAGGAAACCAATTTAACTTGATTTACGAAATCAGTTTGGTTTCGAAATAAATCAGTTGCATTCAAAAATGCAGTTACAAAATAATTAAATCATTTTTGGGGTAATATCAAAGAGCGCAGTCCTTCGAGACGGAGGAGCCAATGAGCGGGACTGGGCTTCGTGCGCTCGTTGGCTCAGCCGCTTTACGTCAGTCGAGCTCGCCCCTCATTGGTCAGTGTTTTTCGTTAATAGCTCGTAAACAAAGCCGCGGATTGCATTTTCGCTAAGGAAAAAGTTACTCCAAATGACCTCAGGAATCCCCCATTTCTGGATTGCGAGACATTTTTGGGATACCCTGTACAGTTCTTACTATTGAGGCTTTCCGGTGTAAGCCGTGTCCTTTTGGAAGAATTGTGCCAACGTTTCGCAAACAGAGATAACTGCATCAGGTGTTGAATGACACACTGATACCGATGTGTGCCAAGTGATGCTCCATTAGTAGAATGGAATCTGCTCATAATCCGGTTACTAATAAGAATATTTGTTTCTCAAATTGTTCAGCTGACCAATCTAAAATCGGCAACCAGTGAACCTGAACATGAGTCCACGAACGATTCAATTCGGGTATTACAACCCCCGATGAGTTCAAGAAAGCCGTGCGTTGCTTTCCACTGCAACGTCAATTCAATCTCTAAAATATTGAATAAATGAGTAAATAATAGATCCACATACACGCCTTTCTGCACAGCTCTTTCTCGACGAACCGCTTTTAATTCGTTACATAATCTTGCTCATCCCGGAATTAAGGCAAAGGTCAAAATCATGACACGGCGTTACGTTTGGCCGTCCATTAAGACAGATGTTTAAAAATGGGCTCGCAATTGTTCGCAATGCCAGCACGCGGAAATTTCAAGGTGCATTTCCGCTCCCCCCGGATCGTTCGGCATGGTTCGAACATGTGCGCATAGATATTGTGGTATTACTCCGGTAGAGCGGTTTCATAGACAATTAACCCTTTCGCTGCGAGCGGCAGATATATCCGGCATGCAGGATGTGACAAGTACAAGAAATATTTCCTTCATATGATCGACATGTGTCTATGGAATTCATATTGCCTATACAAATTTAAAACCGGTAAAACAATATCTATAAAATTTGATCTCGATCAAATTTTGAAGAAATATCAGAAAAAAGCAAGCCGTCAACCTATTAGAACCGGAAACAAGCACTCAGCAAGACTCGATGGAAGAAAGGAGAAAAGGAAAAAAGGATCGCGAAGGTGTGTGTGTCTACGAAAAACCATAAGAGACGAGAATCTCGATATCAATGCCAAGAATGTGATGTTGGATAGTGCGTGTATCCATGTTTCAGAATATATCACACTGAATTAAATTATTAATCACTATACATTATATATTATATTTTATTTTATTATTGTATATTATATATCACTGTATATTATATATTATTCTTCCACTATTTTTAATTGTTAATGAAACTCTTTGTACCCATTAAATAAGTTTGTATCTTTTATGCAGGAATTATGAGTATATTGTTTCAAAAAAATATTCCTTTTCTCCCAAAATACACTGTCCACGCGCAATGTGTACACTTTCTGCGGGGAGTCCTGTAGAGGGGTAGCGAAAGGGTTAAAAGCTGCAATACATTGCCATGAAAATATTCAGTGGACTGAGCTTCTTCCAACCATTCTGCTGGGAATTTGTTCAGCACCACAGGAGGAATTAAAGACCACGTCAGCAGAATTTGTGTACGGTGAGATGTTACGACTACCAGGTAGTTTTTTGACATCGATACCAACGTCCACCAAGCATCGATTTTTGTTAAGGAACTACGGCGATAGGAACGGACCGGCGAAAGCAATGCCACATCGCGTACCGTGAATTTTTGTATATGATGATTTAGATAAGGTCGACTACGTCTTTTTACGCAACAACGCATCGCGGAAAATCCTGCAAAATTCGTACGATGGACCATTTAAGGTCATAAGTAGTATCATAAGAATATATGTATGAAACATTAAAGGTAAGCAGGTGACGGTATCAATGGATAGAGTAAAACCCGCGTATGTAATATCCGAGAATATACCGTCACAAAACAGTAATTTTGCCAATTATACCACTCGATCATACATCTCCTGACAATAATCCAGCGCGACACATAGGCATAGGTACACCGATAGATACAGCGGTAAACGCATACACACACACCGCGTCATCCGTGCCCGCAGAACATGCACAAACAACAACGTATTTTGCAAATTGCTCCGGCAGGGAAGTTAGGTTTACCAAGAGAGATACCAAGCAGATTCGCGTAGTAAAATAAATTGAACATATTTAAAAAATTGATTAAGTATGTATATGTATATGTGTACACACAAAAACGCGCTACTTGGTATAACGAGCAAGTACATACAGATGTACATATTTTCCATAGAGTGTAAGTTGTATCATAATTGTAAATAAGTTCGACTTTAGAGATTTCGCGTGTAGATTTTTGTTGTTTCTTCTCTTTTCGTATAAGGACTCGAGAAGTCATTGTAATTTTTTCATACCAAAATTTCCTGGTAGAGGGGTGATGTAGCGGCCCGGACGCTATTTGGTCTCTCGAAACTCCGATTTTCTTTACAAGTCATAATTTTTACCAGAGCTCTGCGCGAGCCTGCTTATGATGGCTCTGTTTTAACACTGGATTGATGGAGCACAGAAAAGGCAGCTGTTTTATATTAGTTTATAAAAGTAACAGTAAGATATTTATTTTTATTTTTAACTAGTGTTATTGTAACATTTGCCGTAAGTAACATATAAATTGAATAAATAACTAATATGTTATTATATTATATATAACATATTTATTATTATATTATACTATAATATTATAATAATGTATATAATAATAATAATAATGTAATAGTAATATGTAAATAATATTATAATAATATAATAATGTAATAATAATATGTAAATAATATTATAATAATATAATAATGGTATATTATATATAATATAATAATTGAATAAATAAATGTATCTTTATGATATGAAGAATCGTGAATTAAAAAATTAGTGACCCGTCAGGTTGACACCGTCATCCCAGGCAATTGTTCACGTACACTGATGGCCTGCCTCGAGCGTCCAAAGGTTTTTCCCGCGAGGCGTTTTACGCCCGGCAATTTTTCCATCAGCGTTTATTCGTTCTTGTCAAATAGGATATTCTAACCTTTGGCAAGGACGAAATAAATAATCCTCCGAAGGCATCGGAGGAGCCAGTTAGTCAGTAAAGTCACCGGCGTGTACACCTCGAAATCACCTCCTGCGATTTATTCTCACGCAGCTATTTCGTAAAGCCTTACTGGTTGTAGACAAACTTTAAATACAGTAAATTCATCCTAATTGGCGCTCAGATTGTGCACAAAAATGGACAATTTGGGAAGAGGAGATACGATTATTTAAGTCTTGCATTTCATTTTTGTAATTGTTGACAATCGGCAACTATAAAAATGAGCAGCGATGCTCGAATAATCGTGTTTCCTCTTCCCAAATTGTCCATTTTTGTTTCCAAGCTGAGCATCAATTAGAAAGAATTTACTGTACTTGTAATTTAACTGTAAAAACGCTCGCTCTAAATAAACTTCGCACCGTGTAAATACGAATGTGACGTATCCTTTCCCCTACGATTTTAAAATAACAGAAACTATAATCTCGAGAACAAATTTTCTGTTTATCATAACATATGCAGCTTTTCGTCAAACGATGATTCCCATCGACATTTTGTTGTATTATTGAAAACAAGTAAAATGTAAAAGTGGTCTTGTGATTTAGCTCAACCTGTGCAATTCGTTGTTAATAATACTCTTGATGTCGACAACCGAAGGTGATCGATTTCATGCGAAATAATCCATGATGCAGGTAAGCTGCACAATACCTACCTCGTATAACAATACTATGTTATCTAAATCGAAGACACAATTATAGCTATTATTTTAATATGCGTACACTTAAATAGAGTGCGCGTTAATAATATGTTTTCATAATTGTCTTGTCTCTTAACCGATATCTTCAGCAATTTGACGAACAAGGAGGCCTTGTACGATCCACGACTTCGAACACATTCTGCTGTGTTTGATTGAAAGAGTACGGCGGACCTTGAAAATGAGTCTAGCTGCGTTTCAAGGCTTTATCGATGCGGTGCAATTCTATTAACACCTAATTTTCGCACATTTTGCCATTGTTGCAGCAGCTGTGCACATGGCAATTGGATTCGCACGTTTTTCGCCGTTTGCGTCAACCAGTTTTCATTCTCGCAGTTTCCTAAATACAAATAGTATCCGATGTTAGTGTACGACAGCTGTTTCGGAAACGACGAATTGAAGTTTTTAGAGTTATTGATAGAAGTTATTGAGTTATTGATAGTTATTGATCGTGGGACTTCGTGCAGAATGAAAATGTTTCGCACTAATCCGTTAATTTATTTCTGTTCTTAATCGTTTAAGTAAGTTCATAATAGGATAATACAACAGAATCCTTAACCCTAGAAAGATAACCATATGACAACGTACGTAAAAGATAACCATACGCTTCAGAGGCGCATGCTTTTCTAAGGCGTCAATTTTATACTAACAATAGATATTTATTTAAGTTAATCTAGTCATTTTAAAGGTTTGGCATTATTGTAAAAATAAAATGCATTTATATTATATTTTTTTATATTTTAAGTAATTTTAAACTTAAATCACTAGACCTCTATGAAAAATTAACAAAAATCAACAGTCTTCGCAGGCGCCTCTGCGACGTAGGTTATCTTTCTCGGGTTAAATACTTTCAATATTTATCGTCTATTGTCAGTTTTCTTTTACTTCGGTACTACGATATTCTTGAAATTTTTTATAAAAAGATATAT